ACCATTTCTATTTAAAGTTGTACAATTGTAATGAGGAAAGAAAAATATGGTCTTTAAAATTCCTTACACCTAAATATATAAGACATATAAGCAAATATACTTTGAATGTTTCATCTCGTCAGAAACCAGAGAAGAATCCTACCTTAAAAATTTACGTTGGCAGCGAAAGGGTTAAGAAACGAAAGGCCCAAAGGGTTTTATGATGAATTTAATCTCGTACCAACCCGTATTTATAGCCCGATATATGTTTAAAAATTATACCTTATTACTTATATTTACATTTGTGACTTATTCTTATTTTATATTTGCCTGATTGTGACTTTTAACGTGTAAAATGCATTATTTTTTAAACCCAACGGCATGTACATATGTTATCCACTGAACGCGCGTCAACCCTTTATGACGTCACTGAGAAATTACGTCGAACGTTTATCCATACACACATCCATGACCTCTTGACCCCTTACCGATATTTATACAGTTATAGATACGCATTGCTTTCAGTAGTGTCATATAAAGGAATACATTTGCAAATGTAAATATTGATATATAGAGATGTATAAATACAGAAAATGAATAAAAACGTGTAAACATTAACAAAAATAAAATTTTTTTATTTTGTTACGCTGTATCTGTCATTTTGATTAAAATCTACCAGAAGTGCCGTGGCGGTGGTGCGCGTCTTTGCGTTAGACACTCTTTTATCTGTTTGCAATAGTAATAACAGTTTCGTTTATCAGCGGTTTTTGGTAATTTATCAAACTTAATTTTCTTTAAAAAGTCTAAATTTCCCGATAAATGATTTATATGCTTCCTTAACATACCCGCGTCACTCTGTTTTTATTAGCCTCAAACGAATGCCCAGGATTATCAACAGTTGAACTATTGGACTTTTGAAATTAACAAATTATATAGGGACTGCTAAGTAGGGGTATAACAAATTAATATATATACATTTGTGGTATCTCTACATTATATAAACATACAGAGAACAAATATCTTCAATTGTGTATGAAGTTTGTCAGAGGTCAATGCTTGACCTAATCACATGGCGCAATGATCTCTACCGGTACAAAATGACTTGCTCTACTTGCTTTTCTTGTATAGAAATGAACAAAATAAGCAAGTAAAATAATCATTATTTTATTTACAATGTAAACGAGTATTTCGTACATTTTTGGCTATCGATTTAACCTGCGTGCTTAGAAAACATACACATGAAAACTAGTGTTTTTACAACTTTTATGACACTTTTGTCAGCTGCAGTCTCTAACGTTTATCCTAAATTTTTGGGTAAACCTTTAGTTCAAATTCAATGAAAAACTATGATATTTTCATTAAATTCTACTCACGATCAATGTAAATCTGTTGGAAAATATCAAAGCATTGCAATCACGCCACAAACAGCTGACAAACACTTCGGAGTTGTCGTAACAATAAGCTGTCGCCAGTGTCTCTGTGTTTTCATCATTAATATGCCTTTATTCATTGAAATAGTAGATTGAATGTTTTTGATCAAATCCAATTGATTGCAAATTAACTGGCTCGGTCAAGTGTTTCCATCCATCGGATCCATCCATCCCTTTCTGGCGACCGAAATTCCTCCAACATTTTATCATCGATCTTCGAATCGGACGTGTTTCTAGTGTCTTTATCAGTTTTCACGAATAAAAATATTTCCAGACAACAATCTATTCACTATTACCGATCAGAAGTTGCCTTTCACAAAATATTCCCTTAGAAATAAAATCCTTAGCCTTGTGAATTCGAAACGTAACCGCCATTCAAGCCGATTTACACCTTGCGTCATTTTTCAAAATCTACGACGGACGGTTAGTGCAATAATTTATTTTCGAAAATATTCAATTTTCTGTCTCAAATGTATAAATAAGTAATAAATAACAAGTTTATATACTTCAATGGGAATTGAAGTGGGTCGGTACGTGATCAAATCTTCTGAGAAGGCCTTCGGCCTTCACAGGATTTGATCACGTGACCGACCCACTTCAATTCCCATTGAAGTTTATAAATTTGTTATTCATTACTTATATATACATTTGAAATTGAAAGGCGGTTGTGCTTCCAATTCGTCAGGCTAAGAAGGAAATATTTTGTTCATACCACTTTGATCAGTAATACTGAACAGATTGTTGTCTGGGAATATTTTTATTTGTGAAAATTGATAATCGATGCTGAAAAGACACAAGAAACACCTCCAAAGATTGATGATAAAAAGTTGGAGGAATTTCGGTCGCCTGAAAGGAATGGATGGATCCGATGGATGGAGACACTTGTCCGAGCTAGTAAATTTGCAATCAAGTATAAAATTTGATCAAAAAACATTCAGTCTAGGATTTCAGTAACTAAAAGCATATTTATGATGTACGGAGACACTGGCGACAGCTTTTATACATGTACATTGAAGTACGATGGCGCGGATCGAGGTGTTTGTCAGCTGTTCGTGGCGTGATTGCATTGCTTTAAGTATTTTCTAACAGATTTACAAATTTATCGTGAGTAGAATTTTATTTTAAAAATTATAGTTCTAGCCTCTATCAAGAAGATTTAACTTAAAGCTACAAAAAAAAATAAGGATAAACGGAAGAGACTGTGCAGGTAACAAAAGTGACATAAAACAAGGTAAACAAAGGCTTTTTTCTATCGGTAGGCTAGGCCTATATAAGTATATTCTCAATGTTCACAGGTTAAATCGATCGCCAAAAATGTATGAAATATTTGTTTAAAATAAAACAATTATTTTACTTGCTTATTTTGTTCATTTTTTAATACATGAAAAGCAAGTAGAACAAGTCGTTTTATATTTATGTATTGACCTCTGACCTCTGACAAACATCATACAGAATTAAAGATATTTTCTCTCTGTATGTTTATATAATGGAAAGATACCACAAATGTATATATTTCTGGTTGCAGCACTATATTTGATTGGATAAAAAATTACTTTATATAGTATAAAATGAGTTGCCTACGTCACAATGACTTGCGTCTAAAATGTATCAATCCGCCTGGCTTTACATTCAAATTTTGTACAAATTGAAGTACGTTTTTTAGCTCTACTGGTCAGAGACCAGAAGAGCTTATGCGATAGTAATGCGTCCGGCGTCCGTCCGTCTGTCTAGCTGTCTGTCTGTCTGTCTGTAAACAATTTTTCGAAGTGCTACTCCTCCTACAGTTTTGGTCTAATTTCAATATAACTTGGCACATAAGTAGACTACACTAAGATACATAATTCTGTATATCGGTTTTTGATTTCGATAAACGGTGTTGCCGTGGTAACTAAAAATAGAAACTTCTGTGAAAATTCCTTTAAAATGCTACTCATCCTACAGTTTTGGTCTGATTTCAACATAACTTGGCAAACACGTAGACTACACCAAGATACATAATTCTGTTTATCGGTTTTTGATTTCGATGAACGTTGTTGCCGTGGTTACTAAAAATAGAAATTTCTGTAAAATTCTTTCAAAATACTACTCCTCCTACAGTTTTTGTCTGATTTCAATATAACTTTGCACACAATTAAGTTACACTAAAATTCATAATTCTGTTTATCGGTTTTTATTTCGATGAATGGTGTTGCCGTGGTTACTTAAAATAGAAATTTCTGTAAAATTGTTTCAAAATGCTACTCCTTTTACAGGTTTGGTATGATTTCAATATAACTTGGCACACAAGTAGACTACACTAAGATCCAATTCTGTGTATCTGTTTTTGATTTCGATGAACGGTGTTGTCGTGGTTACTAAAAATAGAAATGTCTGTAAAATTGTTTCAAAATGCTACTCCTTCTACAGTTTTAGTCTGATTTCAATATAACTTGGCACACAAGTAGACTACACTAAGAAAATAAAGAGACTTTATCAAAGATCATTATTCTATTTATTGCTGTTGTTAAGTTTCAATTCCCAACTGCTTAAGTACTTTTCCTTTGCTATAAGTACAAACCAGTAGAGCTTCAGTCTCGACAGAGACTTCTGGTTTTAAAGAACAATCATCTTTTATTCTTACACCAAATGAATCAAATTATAAGGAATGAAATTTATAGCTACGGTACCCATTTTATACGGCATAAACTGGGTTGGAACATTTTACGCTTTTTATAAACAGCTTCGTATAAAATAGGTACATATAGCTATTAAATTCATTTATTAACAAAATTAATCTAAATTGTATAATCTGGTTTGCCTACTCACAATGACTTAACGTACGTCAAAAACGCATCAATCCGCTTGACGTTACATTCAAAATATGAACAATTTGAATGCGTTTTAAGGGAAAAATTGTCTTGTTTTATATATTTAATGATTGAAAATTCAATTATAGGGAATGGATTAAATCGCAACCCAAGTTACACTGCTATAACCTGAGTTGGAGCACTTAACGCTTTTTTTATATAGATTCCATTGTCGAGAGTTCAACCCCGGGCTGGTGCGGAAGTAGGTATCATATAAATGACCTTATAAAAATGAATTTCTACGTTCTTTCTATTTTAATATTTCTTCACTTATGGCAATTATGTTAGAATTGTTGAAAGTTGTGCTTTAGAGAAAAATGAAATTAATTTCATTTCAACGTGTATTGTAGCTGCAGATCCGTAGCTCTCCTAAAAATATAAACAATGTACATGTATTGACAGACTGGAGAGCTATCTGGTCGTCCATCCCATTTTTTTTCAGACCAAAAAACTACAGATATGCAGCTAGTACGTGTGTTGGTAATGATCCTCTGATAAAACTAATGTCCAAATAACTATCTCACTTCCATTCTCAATGACTGAGTAGTATAGGCGGTGCCGTGAGAATTCCATCGGAATCGAAAGAAAGTTTCTTAAGACTTGCCTAGATAGCTGAACTGTCAAGCGCATTGTTCTTGTACTTGTAGGAACAGATTTCGTAGGTCGAAAGTTCAACTTCGGGCTGAGGCGAAAGTAAGTATCGTTATAAAAGTGAATTTCTTAGTGCTTTCAATATAAAACTTACTATTTCTTGCATGGTAACATACGACTCCGGCCCTATTACTATAGCCGCAGCTTCTAGATCCTGCTACAAATTGAGAACACTCTAACAAGGAGCTTTCTTTTCCATTACAATTGAGGCCATCCAACCACACATCTTTATCACCCCCTCCAAATGCGGACGAATAAGCTGGAAGGCCTCTACAAAAGACACTTTATCAATGTTGCCTTGTGTCATAAAATTTAAAAATATATCAGTTATTATTCATTTATATTAAAGGGTTATTGAACTTATATTGGTGAATATTGGCACAAGTTGGCTGTACAAATGCACGAGCTTGCGAGTTCATTTGTACATCCAACGAGTGCAAATATTCACCAATATAAGTTCAATAACTCCTTTATTATATAGCTAAATTACCTATAATAATTATTCCAACTTTAAAAACTCGAATTATTTATTTTTAGTATCTGTATTCAAGTTAACGCCTATCCTGTAAGTGTTCAATATCGCATCATTCCGATGACCCTACCGAGCATTATGATTTGCTTTTTTAGGTTTTAATGGGTCTAATATAATTATATATATGTACTAAATTCTCAGTAAATAATTTTCTTTTTGTGTAAAAAATAGGCATATCTTACTTAGATGCTTTTCTTTCTTTAATTTAGCTCTGAGAATATTTGACCATACGACTTGTTTTTATTTACAACGGGGCGTTCGATATTGAACGCTCGTATTCGGAGTGTTTCGCGATCGGGCATACTCGTATATACGTAATAAAACGCCAAGATATTGAACGCTTAAATTCTCTAGATTTTTGGTAGTATTTCATTAGAGACTATTTATTAGCTATATAATAAACAGAAATATTGTTTGAAAGTAAATAGAGAAAAACGCTTTGAAAAATACCCTGAATATTCCAAAACTTTACAAGTCACATCAGCTTCCCTTCTGTCCCAATATCTGTCGCAAACACCTCTCCATTGACCATTTATCAAAACTTCTATCCGACCTTCGTGTGCAGAGCTCCCGTTAACAATCCTGATTATAGCTAATTATAGACATTAAACACGTGAATTTTCTTACTTTACAATTGAACAAATTAAACAGTCGAAAAATATCTCCTTGCCAATCAATTTTATAAATACAGTACAAAAAAAAAACGATTGAGAACAAATAAGCATTCCCTAAAATACAAGAGATATGTCCTTTATATTAATTAAATATGGATATTAATAAGATATACAGAGTACTCCGTACTCAAATAAAGCATCATATTAATGCCCCTATAAATACTTTACCATTTTTAAAAAGATATTAAGATATCATTATATATCATATTTACGAGGACTGTTTAATAAATAATGTCCTCGGTGCTCGGAAAGAAGCAAAAGACGCTTTTTAATGGTTTAGCCTAAATGATTTAAGTTGATTTTCATTTTAAATTAAAAGACATGTCTGTAAATTTTTTTATCCAATTTCTGATTGATTTTAGAAATCATTTTTGGGCATGACCCTTAGTATACTGGAAAATGGCAGATCCTATGATTTCCTGGACTCTTTTCTTCCTTCTGAAAGGTGTTTTTTTTCAAGTTTGGAAAATGAAAACAAGTCAAAAGTCGATAGATCTGGTGATTGTTAATGTGAAAAAAAAACTTTCTGTTTATCCCCGACACACCTTTACTTTTCAGGGGTTGCGGGTTTGGACGCTGTCATGAAGAAATTTAATGTAGGGATTCCAGATTCTGTTCCCTTCCTCTCATTAACCTTTCGATTTTTTGCAAAAAAAATGCTTTCTAGACTCCTCCAGACATTAAATTGCCTCCCAGAATACGAATTTGAACAACAAAACCACTAAAATTTAAGAAAATTGCATATAAATCTGTCTTTGGGCTCTTGCAATTCTTGCTCTTCTCAGACCTTTGCTGCTTTTGTCAAGTGCATCTCATTGTAAATTTTGTTTCGAGGGCTTTAAGCAATAGATTCTAGTTTCATTATCTGTTTGAATTTCAAACAAACGTGGATAACCACAATTACTTATATTTTAAAATCATTGTTTAGATATTCTTACACGCTGCATGTCGTTTTACTCGTTTTTCAAAACATAGGGTGGCCTTGAGTACTACGCTTTTTTTACTGCATAACGTCTCTTTATAACAGTGTGAACTCCCGAAAAATTGTCTATCAAATTTGCTATGTGTCTTAAAGTCAATCATACATTATCAGTGATTATTTGTTGAAATTTGGCAATCAGGACATTCGTTGTCATAATATTTTGTCAGGCACGCCGTGACGTCAGGCACTGAGTGTCTGGTATGACCTGTGGTGCAAAATACAGAAACTATAGGTCTTGTGGAAAATAGTTGTTTACCTAATAAAAACGTAACATTTCATGAATAATTTATATAGAACTTGACAGAAAAGTATCACTTTTCACGTCTTAAAAAAAGCCGGTCACTGGGAGTCCTTTTCTGCACGAGAGAGAGGAAAATCAAATTAACCCGGTACCGTAGAACCACCGGTATCGTAGGAATGGAGTATATTCCATATCATAATAACACATAATAACATAATTAAACGTTTGAAAAAGTACAATCTGCTTCCAAATAACGAAATATAGATGTGTTTGACGGGGAAATTATATATTTTTGAGATATTAGACACTCTTACATTTTTTTCATTAAAAAAAGGGGGGCTAATTATCCACACTTCAGGTGCTTGTGATCCTAATAAGTGAAAATTCTCTGCACTTCCGTTGCTTTTACCTAAGGGAATTACAACGTTATTAAATAACATAACTTTAGTTAATTTAAGCAAACGACATGAAACTTCACACTTCAACCAAAAGAAAATTATAATATGCTAATTTTAAATATCTTGAAGAATGTATAACGACAAATAAGATCGTCCTAACATTCATAGAATCCAAAAAATATCTAAAAGTAAGCCACAATCACAAAGAACTACCAAACAAATTTGCGGTAAATTGCATATTTTTGCCCCCAGAAAAGTCATATTTTGTAATTTTTTTTGAAATGCGTCAAAAATTGTATGAGACATCTAAATTAACAACAATATTATTGTTTCAAAAAGTGTTTATAGCCAATTTTGTTTTTATGACGTCACAAACTATTAGGGTTTTCTATCAATTTTCAGAAAGAGGAAAAAAATATACAAATTTGCTAAATGTTTACTGTAAAATTTATAGAGCTCGGGTCTGCTCAAGAACCGTGAACAATGTTTACATATTTTTTTGGTATTATCATTCTACACATTACCGGTATATAATCACAGTACTGAAAGAACTGAAAGCCGGGCTTTAATTGCTCTAGTACATTGTCTGATCCGAAATTGGTACATATTTAATTTTTTGTCCCCCGCTTGAAAAGTGGGGGATATTAATTTGGGTCTGTCCGTCCGTCTGTCCGTCCGTCCGTCCGTCCGTCCGTCTTTCTGTCTGTCTGTAACGCTTTCGTTTCCACACGATATCTCGAGAACCCTTTGAGCTTTTGCAATGAAATGTAGCATAGCAACTCCCTATGGACTAAAGAAGACCCCTATTGATTTTGAGGTCAAAAGGTCAAAGGTCAAGGTCATAAATAAGCAAATTCTGTCTGTTAAAACACTTTCGTTTCCACACGATATCTCTAGAACTATTTGAGCTTTTGCAATGAAATTTTATATAACAAATCCCTGTGGCCTAATGAAGACCCCTATTGATTTTGAGGTCAAAAGGTCAAAGTTCAAGGTCGTAAATTTATACATTCTGTCTTTGTGTAATACTATTATTTCCGGGCGATATTTCAAGAAGATTTTGAACTTATGCAATGTAATTTTATATCAAAACTCCCTAGGACGTCTCTCGCCCCTCTCAAAGTGCTCCGCCCCGTTTGTTTTATTAGTATTTATAGTATTACATGTCGCTATTTTTAGCGCAAGGGCATGAGGAGAGTTATTGCGTATAAAACAGGTTCTCGGCGGACTTTATGTTCTTATTATATCTATTAGAACTGTTTAAGAAAGGCTAAATAAATCAAACACCATGGATTGTGTAAAATTTTGAGAATACCGAACATGAAAACATGAATATATACATGTAAGTGACTTTACTACTGCATATACTTCACACTAATTATAGCGATTCCGTGGTCTAGTGGTTATGTCTCTCGCTTCAAATGTGAGAGGTTCCGGGATCGAATCTCGGTCGAACCTTTCTTTTTTTTTTTTTTTTTAAATTATTTTTCTTTTTTACTAAATGATAGTATTCAGCATGTGAAATGAAAAATTTATGAGGTTATAAAATCATCATTACAGTGTGATAAAAATTCCATATAAAAAATCTTCTATACACATAATGAAGAATAAACAATCAAATCTTTATATGCATATTGACATACATGTATTTTATTTGCTTCAGTATACATGTATACATTTAATAATTCTACAAATTCAGTCAGGGGGAGCCGACTTTTTCCCTAAGCGGGGGACACGAATTCTCTGAATTAGCTTGTTTCCTTTAAGCCATTGATTTTTAACAGGTAGAGTTTGTATGGTTATGATTTAAAACAATATCCCATATACAGTGTACCAGTTATTAAAATCAACAGTCCAGACCCCAAGGTATATTATGATTTTAGATTTTAACAAGAGGCCCAGGGGCCACAGCGCTCACCTGAGCACATCGGCTAGGAAAAAAAACATATCAGATCAGAACTGAAAGTTAACGTAAGTTGGGGGGGCTTGAAATTTAACCCCCCAGGGGATCATAATTTCAACGAACTAGAATCTGCATTACCTGAGGATGATTCCATATAAATATTACTAATCATGGCTTTGAAATACTTGAAAAAGATTTAAAAAGGTTTCCCTATATATTCCTATGTAAAACTTTGGTCGGCCATTTTGGCCCCACCCTACCCCCGGGGGTCATGACTTGAATAAACTTGAATCTACACTACCTGAGGATGATTCCACATGAGTTTTATCTTTCCTGGCCAAGTGGTTTTTGAGAAGAAGATTTTTAAAGATTTTTCCTATGTATTCCTATGTAAAACTTTGATCGGCCATTTTGGCCCCGCCCTACCCTCGGGGGTCATGACTTGTACAAACTTGAATCTACACTACCTGAGGATGATTTCACATGAGTTTCATCTTTCCTGGCCCAGTGGTTCTTGAGAAGAAGATTTTTAAAGATTTTTCCTGTATATTCCTATGTAAAACTTTGATCGGCCATTTTGGCCCCGCCCTACCCCCGGGGGTCATGACTTGAACAAACTTGAATCTACACTACCTGAGGATGATTCCACATGAGGTTCATCTTTCCTGGCCCAGTGGTTCTTGAGAAGATTTTTTAAAAATGCCATTAATTTTTCTCTAATTCATGATTATCTCCCCTTGGAAAAGGGCGTGGCCCTTCATTTGAACAAACTTGAATCCCCTTTACCCAAGGATACTTTGTGGCAAGTTTGGTTGAAATTGGCCCAGTGGTTCTTGAGAAGAAGATGAAAATGTGAAAAGTTTACAACGACAACAACAACAACAACGACGACGACGACAGACGACGGACAAATTTTGATCAGAAAAGCTCACCTGAGCCTTCGGCTCAGGTGAGCTAAAAAATATAATATTTCTAAGAAATTCTCGCATATTTTCTATTCAAAAAGCACTTTTTCTAAACATTTAGAAATTCATCTTGGAATGGTTAAAATAATGCACAAGTATACTTTTTAGACATTCTTTTTGTTTCGAACAAACAGTATGTTGGTCGCAAATACAAATATACAGTGTCAAGCGACTTCACGCATGTTAATTCTTAAAATTCCAATTCACTATACTATTAATTTGCTAAAAATCGAAACAGAATACAGCCACTAACATATCATCGACGAAAACGAAATGAAACATGAAACTCTTCAACAATTTCAACATTTCGAAAAGCCCGCGCTATTGAAAATACATATGCATCCAGCAGCTAGCGTATGTGCACAAATTGTTATATCACGATTATCCAAATAAAAGCAAATATCTCATTTCTCTTTCAGGTTAATTCTAAATTCTAATTCTAAAAAAATATTGATCATTCACTTTTCCAACGATTGATATGTTAAAAAAATTTGTTTGTAATCGCAATGGGACTAGTTCCTCCATTCATGTCCGGCTCCCTTAATCAATTCGATATTGTCGATATCGCAATGTAAACAATGTTGATACGATATTGTGTTTACATCGTCTACATTGTTATTATTTCTACATGACGACATCGTCTACATCGCAACGTAAACAATGTTGATACGATATCGCATTTACATTGTCTACATTGCTTTTTTCTACATTTTATATTGACAACCGATGTAATTAATGTTGAAACTATTTTGCATGTACTGTACAGATGACAAACACTGTTTCCAAGTTTTTTAATTTCATTTTCAGAATGTAAGAGACATGCTTCATACTTGTTGTACACCTGATGTGGACGCATAAGAGTCAAACATTGCCCTGGTGATGATGTGCAAAAAGTAAACAGAATATTTTGCCTTGTCAATATGACCTCAACTTGATTTTATGATAAGATAAAAAAACAAAAAAGGAAACTTAATGTTGACATGATGAACTCGATATAGGCCAACACAGATACGAAGTATATAAACAAAAAAATAATAAGAATGCAATGTTCACACAACATCAACTCAATTACCGACCAACATAGCGATGTCGACGATGTAAACAATGTAAACAAGATTTTAAAAAAGGGCAATGTTGACATGATGTCGACTCGATATCGACCAACATTGCGATGTCGACGATGTGAACGATGTAAACAAGATTTTGAAAAAGGGCAATGTTGACACGATGTCGACTCGACATCGACCAACATTGCCATATCGACAATGTGAACGATGTAAACAAGAGAAATAACAAAAACAATGTTGACACGACGTTGACTCGATATCAACCAACATTGCGATGTCGGCGATGTGAACAATGTAAACAGGATAAAAGAGGCAATGTTGACACGATGTCGACTCGATGTTGAGCAACATTGCGATGTCGACGATGTGAACGATGTAAACAAGAAAAATAAGAAGGACAATGTTGACTCGATGTCGATTTGATATCGACCAACGTTGCAATGTCGACGATGTAAACAAGAAAAATAAGAAGGGCAATGTTGACACGATGTCAACTCAATATCGGAAGGCAATGTTAACAAGATGTTGACGTTATATTGTTAAACAATGTAATGTATAGAGAGATAAAGGTATTTTTGTCATGTTGAATATGTTAAATGATATTAGGAGGACTGGTATTTTTACAGTGATGTCGACAATATCGAAAAAACATCGTCTGCTTTGAAGCTGTTTGGTTTTTTGTTTACTGTGCTATTTATAGTAAGACAGTCTATCATGATGCCTAGAGCCAGGACTTTGCTTTCAACAAACCCCAGCTAAAATAATGGAGCTTAAGAATACCTGCGCTCGGTGACTTTAGCTCACGTCTAAACCGCGGACTTGTTTGTTGAAAAGATTATGAAAAACGTACCGAAGAAGCTGACGGAACTAAAGATATTAAATCAAAGTAAGTGACCTGTTGCACAAGAGGAGTGATATGAGAGCAAAAAGGTTAAAATAAAATCCAGCAGTGATATGCTATGAATGTGGCAAACCAGGATAGAGTTTTCATTAAAACATAGATCTACTGTTACTCTCATTGGTCGATTGTACGAGACTCTGTCTGAAACTATAAGACCAAGGCACGATGAAATTCTTTGAAACGAAAAAGAAATCCCAGCACACTTACACCTTCTAGACTCTTAATTCTGGTAGAACAGGAAAAAGGAAGCCACATGAGAATAGTATACAATTTTAAAAATCAGTCAGTTTGTGCCATTTTTCCAGAAGGTTTAGTTTACTTTATATAGTTTTTTTTGTAATTACATAAACATGTCTTACGAATGAGTTCATACTTCTTTTTTCCAGTCATGAAATTTCATAAAAGATTATTGCCCCCCCCCCTTTCCCCTGCCCAACAATAAGAAATTTGCGTTTGAAAATGGGTTATCAACTTATCATAATCGATTGACTTGGACATTATTTCTGATACTTGGAAATAAAATTTTGCAAAAATACGTCTCGGCATTTAACAGGAAGCTCAGTAGATCTGCTGATTCATAGAAATCGGCTAGTCTTTAGTACTCGAACATTCCGAAAACAGTGTACCAAGTTAATAAACGCAACTACCATTGTGGGAGTGTAATTAAGTGAGAGATTTCACTGTAAAGAAGAAAAGAAAGGTCTACGATATAAAGATCGATTTGGCAAATATCTGAACAGACAGGCAGTCATCTGATTTATTCATTTTCTATATGCACTGTGTATCCATGGTGTCATTTTTGTGAAAATGTTTAATATTCTCAATTTTGTCAAAATAATAAAGAGCTATTAATTGTAATGAAGAAGACCTTTAACCTTAAACTATCAAAAGACTAAGCGACGTAGTAATTGATATCAAGTGGCAGCCTAACTGTTTGAATTAATTAAATAAAATATCTATAATATTTGTCAAAATGCATACAAGTAAAGGAGAGTAACAATGAAATAGAAACTTGAATATCTTAGATATACTCACCACCTTTAGAAGGATAACAAATGACACCGGCATTCCGGCCAGAAATGTGACTGTTTGCTCCTATGACTGATTTTGAGCATTGCAACAGAGAAACTTCATGCCCTGTGCAATTAATTCCGTCCAACCAGTTATGTGAATTTCCCTCTCCAAATACGATCGAAGCAGTCGGGATACCCCTGTCAAATGCATCATCTGTTTGTTTAGGGTATAAAATGTTCTTTGTTTAATTCTCATCTTAAACTTATTTTTTCTATTTTGTCAGTGATCTTGAACTAAGCGGGATGGTCGTTGGTCAAGGCCATGACACAACCTTTATGTGGTAGTAACTATCATATGTGAAGTATGAATGTAACAATTTTTCTACTTTTGGCCTTCAACTTGCCAAAAAAAAATCTTGCGTTACTCATCAAATCTTTGTGTTCAGTGTTAATTTATAATTGACCTTCGTTTGAGAGTTTTAAACATGCAGGAAATGACAAAAAATCCTCTATCTCCCTCCCTCCTCCTTTTATTTTTTTAATCGATGATCTCATTAAAGCTTAAACGACATGGTGTCTTAAACAATACATAAACTAGGATCATATGAAATATAAATAATACATGTAAGTATGAGCCTCTATTGTTCCTTTTTACTGTAAATCAATTATTTTTCGGGATTCGTTACCAGTTTAAATTCAATTTGCGACTTCGCAGATGTTTCTCTCTCCCGAATAAAATTAATGCTGGCCATGGTTTACATACACAGATTTAAGCGCGACTTAAAATATAATTTTTTTTCTATTTGACTTTAAACATTATCAAATGATCTTATCAAGATCGTAACACACTTCCAAGTCATAATAAAAGATGGAAAGTAGTCAAAATACGAAATGGGATCAGTTTAAACACAAACTTCTAAAAGTCTTAATACATAAGACCTGTCTAAAAAAAGCTGCCACTGCATGGGTCCTTCGGATGAGACCTTAAAAACTGAGTCCTTGTGTCACGGCAGGTGTTGGAAAGATAAAGTTTCTTCACTGCGCAATGGTAAAGGTACTTTGAAGCCCTACACCGGTATGTTAGATTGTACGTTAGATTTTCAGGTAGAAAGAAATCTTTTGAAAGAAAGAACCGAGAAAAGGATTTTTAATAACTCTACGAGGTACTGTTGGGTGAAAGTGGCTATATACATGTGCGATTTGGTGGTTAGGCAATTAGACGCCGATTAAACCTGATAATTATGCGATTTCTTTATATAGAGAGGATTGTTATTTTTCAGTTGTTAAACAATACAAATTAGGAGAAGAGCAAAAGAAGGCCTCTTAAACGTCGGAGGTGGAATCGGATGCCATACAGGAGTAAGCATTCCCTGTCGACCGGTAACACTGCCGTTTGCTCCTTGTCCTGGTCAGGCAAACGGATGAAATATGTGAATTTAACATAGAAGTTATTCAAACTATATGCACACAATTTATCGAGGTGCATGCATCGCCTGTTTTATCATTTTATCAAGTTCTTAGTTTGCAATTTAAAAGAAAATTACAATTGATGAATTACATGTAGATATGAAAGTAAATGTATTTACCCAGAATATCCAAGAGACCTACACGCTACATGTGCATCATTTGCATTCCACTGTTCATCACTGATAGCTCCCCATTTTCCGTTTATCAGAATCTCAACTACACCTTCGCTAGGAGATTTTCCATTAGAAAATCTTATATTGCCTGAAGTTAAAATTTAAAAAAAATGAAAATAGTTACATCTTCTTTTATTTTAAACATTGTATAGTTTTTAGAAACAAATTACTTACGATTTGGAAGAAAACATATGACACCAACATCTTGTGCATGGCTGCATTTATGTGCTGCTGAATGCGCGCAGTCAAGTATATTGTTTTCATTACCGGAACACTGTACTCCCTGTAAAAGAATCGGACCACTTCCCTCCCCAAATACACCACTTGCAACGGCCAGTCCATTTCTAAAATATACCTTTACATTAAATGTATCTTAAACATTGTGATTTAAAATTTACAACAAAACTGAACTAAACGGGATTTCACCATAATTAGAATTCCTTCTGTATGCTCGCAATGTGGCAGAAAAATAGCAGAATCGCAATACACTGGACAAAATTGCTAACGCACCACCTAAGAGAATTAATATTTTACTTTTAAAAACCTGTTTATGATGCATTTGATATATAAATATTTCACTTTAACAAAAAATAAGGCATATTAATGTCAAACCATATAAATAATTACAATGTTTATTGAAGTGTGACCAATTCATAGAAAAAGATAAAATCGTGTCTATTCCATTTTTGAAAAAAAAATTCAATTTTTTCTTTGTATTTGTGTTCTTTCCATTTGTGCTAATTTAAAACTCAGAAAAAAAATTACACCGTATGCGGCGTTTGACGCTAGAAGAGCGTGCAAAAGCACACATGATGGCGTCTGCAGGGGGTTCCTTTAGAAAAATCTGTAAAAAATAAAACAATTAAAAACTTATGGATTCTACTCATGAAAAATTGTTCCAATAGATTAACAAACATAAAAACGTTAACTATAAATAACCACGGCATTAAGGTAGCAGTATACAATAAGCTGAAAATTGTTCCACAAAACTTGGTCAACCGGAAGTGGAGTGGATTTAGTATAGACACTAAGGTATCAGATGATTACTAGGAGATATGAGAGTCAATGACCGTTAGTTATTTGATTTTTTACTGGGGGACTTACTCCTGTGGCAATCTCACAGACCCCTTTAGTGATCAAGAATTTCATATCTGTGCAAAAATGGTGCGCAGTGCACAGCTGGAAATTGGTTTTCGGACAAGAAGGTCATTCAAGGGTTTTTTCATGATGCCAAGACATTTGTCAATCCCACTGCTTTTGAAATAATGGCATATTATGTACACTAGTACCGATTCGGCAAATGTTCAACTCACAAATACAAATGAACAAGTGGTGCGTTAGCAATTTTGTCTAGTGTATTTCGATTTCGAAGAAAACATCTTTTCAAAATAATAACTTAAGGGAGAATTCTTTTCATATTTCTTATATTTACGAATTAATGAATTAATTTTCACAGAATTAAGAAGACAGATGCGTCAGACTCTGTGGTATCTTTTATCTCAAGCTCACCAGGATATATCGTATCGGCGTAGGAATGGAAATAACCACAGGCACCTGACGTTACTTATTTTTCTTTTAATAAAAAAAATTATATACCCTTACCTTATAATAAACCATAAGGTAAGGGTATATAATTTTTTTTATTAAAAGAAAAATAAGTAACGTCAGGTGCCTGTGGAAATAACCATTGTTAAGCTGTTAATTTTGATAAAATCTTGCGATTTCAAAGTGTCCAAAAGTTCCTTGGAATTTTTAAGCATCCACATCCTTTTTATACCACTTCCTGAATATATTGTTGCACAGTACTCTTGAAGTCTCTCCTTTTACTACTGTTAATATCTTAGTGAGGAGTAAAGAAAGAGGCCTGGTAGAACATTTACTGGGACCCGCAATATATCTGTTTGTAAGGATTTTTATGAAGTTTCGGAATCTAATATATATACGGTAGATCAAATTTATTTTGGTTCTTCGGGATATCAAAACTATGGAAAGCCATAGGGGACCCCCATGTCATGTTCTATATATTTCATTGAAAATCAATCTTGACCTGGTCATGTTATCAATCCTGACCATGTCAAGATTTAAACATGACCAAGTCAGGATTTTTACCATCTTGACCTGGTCAGGATTGATAACATGACCATCCTATCCTGACCAAGTCATGTTTCAATGTTGACCAAGTCAAGATTGGTAACATGGCCATCTTATCCTGACCAAGTCAGGATTTACAACATGGCCATCCTATCTTGGCCAGGTCATGATTCAATCTTGACCAAGTCAGGATTGATAACATGGCTTAGTCAGGATTGATAACAACACGACCAAGTCAAGATTGACAACATGGCCATCCTATCTTGGCCAGGTCAGGATTGAACATGGCGCAGTCAAGATTGATAACATGGCCAAGTCAAGATTGATAACATGGCCAAGTCAAGATTGATAACATGACCATTCAATCTTAGCCGGGTCGGGTCATGATTCAATGTTGACCGAGTCAGGATTGACAACATGACCATCTATAAGTTGGGTTACCACTTGTAGAATTAAATCCAAGTTGTTCTTAAATACAATTTATATACTCTTCAAAAAATGAAACGCATAGTAGGAACAATATCCTGAAAAATGTTTGATAATGTTTTCATAATTTCTTTTTTAGACGGATATGACGCATTCGAGTAAAATGCATTATTTTTAATGCAATTGTTAACTTTACAGCTATTCTATAAATCTCATAGACAAAAAGACCTGATTTTGCAAAATTCCTTAAAAATGTTTGATCTCAATTTTCATTTGTTTGTTTCTAATGCAATTACGTCAGACGCAAAAGGGCTATAAAAAGCGGGGGTTCTCGATATTTTGAATCTTTGTTTTATCTGAAAATTGACTCTTTCTAAAAATGCTGCAGCTGAATGTTGCATAGCACATAAAGGAAAATGGGCAACTGGACGTACTTGAATCTACACTCCCTCAGGGTAATTGATTGATAAAAATTCAGGGTTCTCATTAATTTTCAGAGAAGGTGGAGAAAAAGAAAAAGGTAGGGGGACTGTAGACTTGAGGGCCGAAGGTCCAAACCGAGGGCCACGGGCCCGATGGGGGGTGGGGGTGAGTCCGAGAGGGGCTTCCCTCCTTTCGGTAAGCGGGGGGGGGGGGGGGGGGGGGGGGGGGGTCCTCCCCCGAAAAATTTAATTATTACATTGCAGGAGGTGGCTTCTGGGACCTATCTTGGCATATTTTGACTTGCTTCATTTATTCTCAATATGACACTTTTCAGGAGCCCATTTTACTTAAAAAAAAGATCACAGGAGAAGGACATAGCCTATGATGATCAAAATATCCTTGATTTTGTAATATGTTTTAAATGAAGATTTTTCAAACAGTTTTTGTTGCTTTTTTATAGTAGTTGTATGATCAAAAATATTAACATTGTTTAGATGTATGGGATACTAAAGAGTCTGAATGTCTGCAGCTTATTAACTAGATACATGTACATTGTATTTCACCATTATAAAAAAATCTGCAAGTTTAATTAGAATCTATTAAGAGGGTACCCTTGTTATCTTTTGTTAGAAAATAGTGATGCGCCAGTATTTCTCTCGGTAGTTAGAATAATCTGTGTCTCGGGTCAAGCCCTCACTACAGTTAGAATGTATACTCTCAACGTAGAATCGCTCAATGTATATGTTACAGTAAATATGTGAAATTAGGAATTTCATGTATTTCCTAAACCATTCAGTAAATTCGTGTATTTACTGGCCATTTTAGGAAATATGTGAATTACTGAATTGCTAAGAAATTCATGTATTTACTGAAAATTTTTGCAAAATTTACACGTTTTTACTGAACTAAGCTGGATGAATAAACATATCATTTAAACATTCCGTAAGTATACATTTCAATAGAATTAAGTTAGAATAAAAGTTTATCTAGAAATAAATTCCCAACCCAATTGCAGCTTTGGTGTTGTGCAAGGTATGTGAATTTATCTGGAAAGGAACCCCTTTTTGCGACAGCAGCACCTCTGGCACATTTTCACTGTTTTTAAGATTCACAAAATAAGAGACATGGGATGGTTGCAACTGGTGTCAATCCAGAGATCGGTAGGTTACCTATTTTCCCAGCCTATTAGTACATAGATGTTTTCATTTAGGGTGGTAGAAAGATTGTAAAGGAAAAATGGATGAGAAATACTAAAATTCCTTTTTGTTGAAGCAGCATTTAATTGATAAGAAGTGTTTCTACAAATCTGACGTTATGCATTAATCTTGAATTCCTTTTTGTACTGCTAATGTTAAATGGGTTCCCTGATATTCAAATATATTTGTAAAGAAGTTATTAATTTGGAGCTTTGGCATTAAAATGATATATTTTTTACGGAAGCGTATTAGTGCCACGCAATATTTTTTTTAAAGTTGGAAATTCCAACTTTAAAGTTGGTAATTCCAACTTTAAAGTTGGAAATTCCAACTTTATTCTTGGCTTTTCCAACTTTATTCTTGGCTTTTCCAACTTTAAAGTTGGTAATTCCAACTTTAAAGTTGGAAATTCCAACTTTAATCTTGGCTTTTCCAACTTTAAAGTTGGTAATTCCAACTTTAATCTTGGCTTTTCCAACTTTAAAGTTGGTAATTCCAACTTTAAAGTTGGAAATTCCAACTTTAATCTTGGCTTTTCCAACTTTAAAGTTGGTAATTCCAACTTTAATCTTGGCTTTTCCAACTTTAAAGTTGGTAATTCCAACTTTATTCTTGGCTTTTCCAACTTTAAAGTTGGTAATTCCAACTTTAATCTTGGCTTTTCCAACTTTAAAGTTGGAAATTCCAACTTTAAAGTTGGTAATTCCAACTTTAATCTTGGCTTTTCCAACTTTAAAGTTGGTAATTCCAACTTTAATCTTGGCTTTTCCAACTTTGACTTTTAACGTTTAAGAAAGGATTTTATTATTTATTTACTTATTATTAATTTTTTGTTTGTCAACAAAAAAAAAATCCTGGATCCGCGCCAGTACGAAATTGATACATTTAGTTATGTTGTATATTAAGCAGAAATGTTTAATTTGATTAAATAAAATTTGATTACATTGAGTATTTAATTGCTGTCTCATTCTTTTATACAATACATAATAAATGGCTAATATCTGTAATTGGTTAAGTTCAAATCCTGTCATGTACGGAATACTGTGTACATAATTTATATGAAGTTATTCTCAACAGAATTACACAAGAGGTCTTAAAGGAATATAAGGATTTCTAAGTAAAAGTTGTAAGTTTTATGTAAAGTCATAAGCAAGGTAAAGGTAAAAAAATTAAAACAAACACAAATAAAAAGAAGTCAACAATTTATT